GCCCTGGGGACTGGGATGAGGGATGTGAAATGCAGCACTGTCCACGTGGAAGCTCTGAGTAACACCCTGTTCTACCACAGCAGCCAGTGTGGGCGCATCTTAGCAACTCCTCCGTTGTGGGAGCAGTCGGGGCTGCAGGGGCTGCCCTTCTCCTTGCAGTTGTTGCAGCCACGGCGATTGCCATGAAGAGGAGGAGAGCAACTCGGGGAACGTACAGCCCAAGCCGTCAAGAAAAAGATGGGGCTCGAGTGGAGATGTGGAATGTAATCAAGATGCCACCAACCGAGAGACTGATATAAGAACTGGGGTCACACAACAGGTGCTGTGTCATCCTTTAACAATCAAGGAAATGCTGCAGCATCTCTGTCTTAGGTCTTGAGATGTGTTTTTGTAGGACAGGTCTGTACTGCTTTAAGCTACTCCATAGACTACAGGCAACTGCCTGCTGTTACTTGGCAGTAAGATTCAACTGCTTGAATGAGCTCAGTTATTGCAGCTCAGCCCATAAAAGCTTTATGTAAAACTGGTCTGCCAGCAAGAGCAGTAAAGTCTGGGAGGAAAAAAAAAAAGAGTTCTGGAGGGGCTGTGGAGAGGAAGCAAGCAGGGGCTGTGGCAGCAGAGGGCGGGTACACAGAGCCGCTAACAATGCAATATCGTGTGTCACCAGCAAGAGATGGCCGGGCCACCTGTCCACTGCTCAGCCGTACCGCTTCTGCCTCTCCCTCAGCCACGCAAGGGCTCGTAGCCTTAGTCACTGTCACCGCCGTGCAGTCAACATAAACAGCACCATGCAAATAAGTGAGGCAGGTCTAATTAATGGGAATTAAACCCCTGTATTAAGAAATAACGTGAATAATGTCGTTGTTTAAAAAAAAAAACCCATGTGCCTGTGCCTCCTCTGCAAAGCTAAGGCAGGTGACTGACTGATGGCAGATATTTCCTAGGGCTGCTGCTGTCCTTCCGTAACTAGGCCAGAGTTAGTTAGCATTACATGACCGGACCACAGGTACCACTCTGCTATATTAGACACTTCCACTAAATCTTTTCCTGACTACTAAACCATAGGAATATGTTAAGTGCCTTCCTGAGACTGAGTTGCCAGTTACAGTATTAACTTTCTGGAAAGGAGGATGTTTATATGTAGAAAAACTGATCCCTTTCTTTTGATCAGCCTTTGGAACAAGGTTGATGTTAGCAGGCTGGATGTTTTTTCCCCCCATCTGTTCATAGCTGCAGTGGCTGCCATCCACCCAGAGCAGCACGACCACAGAACGGGCCGTCGTAAGAGATGTAATGTTTGAACATCAGGTGATACTTGCTTGTGTGAGGAGGGCAGAAGGCGATATTTCAAGACCCCGCACCTCTCAGGACAGACAGGTTTGGGCTTGTCAGTACAGAAGACTGGAATTTAGTTAACTAATATAGTGACCTTTAACAGGAAACCAGGGTTTGTGTTGTAGTGAGACACAGCATTCATTTTCCACATTGCCCTAAAAAGGATATTTATTTTGTGGCTTTACTTCTCCTTTGTTACTGTTTTAGCTGTTGAGTGTGCTATTTCTTCTTTAGTATAACATGGCAGAGCCTGTGGAAAGCAATGCAGCAAAGCAGGCCAAATAAGGTCTAAAATCATTAGCATTTCAGGATAATTACTACAACTATCAGTGAGAAATATTTTAGAAAAGAGTATCTGCTTTTTAATCTCCAAAATACTGTTAATAAGCAGGGTGTGAATCTGCCCATCATAGTTAATCGCCACTGGAAAAAAATGCTATTCTGTTTTGCTCTTGGATATAGTTTTTTTTACACTGTAGCTGTAAATTTGTCTGTAATTCTAAGCAAAGGGAAGAGTACAAAGCTACTGATCAGGTCTGTCCGCTTAAGAACAGGTCTTCTGCATGCTGCTGATATAAGATGAAGAGTGAAAATTTTGGAAAATAGAAAAAAACAAGACATTGGGAGGCAAGATGATTAATATTTTGTGTGTAAGATCACTTTCCCTCTAATACTGAGGAAAAGTTGAAAGAGCAGGCGGCAATCCCACCCTGGCTATGGGTTGGAAAGGAGTTGGACATAGCACCGGTAAAGGAAGAAATGACCTAACTTCAGTTTGGCGAGCTTGCTAGCGCTTTTATCTACTTATCAGTAGTAACCCTGCCATTACTTCTAATATGAATTGTTTGCTCTGTGTATTTTCCAGATGCTATTTAGGAAGGTCTAACACACTTTCAGAATAGAGACAGTTATACTGCCCAGTCACCTTGCTGCAGTGGCACTAGTTAAACTGCACACCTTCGGAAAAAGGCGAGTGTAGTTTTGCTCAGCAGCATTTGTGCAACCGAATAAACAAACGAAGCAGGCAGCGCTCTTCTGGGAGAGCAGGTCTGAGGGGGCAGGCCCCCCCATGCTGAGCTGGTTACCGTGTCTCTGGAGAAATGAAAATTCACCCTTGGTCTGAGTCTGGCCCTGCCGTAAGGGTGGGGTTATCTCCTGGTGAGAAAGGACGCACCGACCCCAGCGTAGCGTCAGTGGGCTGGTCCAGCAGCCTGGGGCAGAGCAGCCTGTGTCCTGCCAGAGCCCTGACGTGTAGCCTTTACTTAAATGCAAAGGTAGGTGTGTTTTCTTCATCCCATAATGACTTGTCATAAACCTACAGCAAGCTTAGAATATGCTTTAGGTTTCTGAAAACTCAGACCCGATTAACCTCCACGTCGTTACTTTTTCGCCCCGCTCCATTTTTTGTATTTAAATTGTAGAAAAATGAAGGCAGCGGCAGGATCTAAATGAACCAATATTACTCCAGCCTGTATTACTCTGGGAAGAAAACCAGAACTGTGTTATAAGAACTGACTATTACTAAGCTACTGAAATATCCTGAAAGGCAACAAGAAGCTACAAAACCCACAACAGTAAAGACATCTAAAAACCAGCAAATTGCAAGCAGTGAGTCTGTCTGCATCCCC